AGCATCTGCCTTCAGCTCAGGTTACAATCCCAGGGTCCTAGGATGGCCCCTCATCAGGCTTCCTGGTCAGCGAGGAGCCGGCTTCTCCCTCTCCCACTCCCCCACTTGTGTTCTCTCTCTCTCTCTCAAGTAAATAAATTAAATCTTTTAAAAAATTAATAAAATGAAATGCTAAGAGCCAGAATCTAGTCTGTGGAGAAACCTTCCAACTATCAGACTGGTAAAATTATAAGTAGGAGTTTGTCAAGGAGTGGAAGGTTTTCCCTCTGTCAGTAGTATATATAATATACAACATACACAATCACAAAAGCACCCTACAATTTTCTTTTTTCTTATCAAAGGGAATAGAATGTAATTGAATTTCCCCAGAATTCCTGTGTTTAGAGGGCATGTACCTGTCTGTGCTTTTACTGTAAACAAGTATGTTCGGTAACAGATCATATGGAAATGAAGCCTGGCAGAAGGCTTTCCAAATTTGACAGCAATTCTAAAAATTTGCACACTATTTGCAACAACGTGTTGGGCCTCTGAAAGAAAGCTTTCTAGCTTAACAGTAATGAAGGGACACTTTTTGATCAGCCGTGCTAGCGGAAGAGAGTGATTGCCTAGGGAAGAAGAGATCACGGAGTAAGGCAGTCAAAAGATACAGGACAAAGAAGGGTAACAGCGATGTGTCAGGCAGTTAATTAACGGACACGTCATTTCTCTGGATTTCATGATGCTTATGGTGTTTGCTTTCTTACATTGGAATGGGCTGTGATTTTCCCTTCACACCTAAGTTTGCCTAATTTTAAGTTATTTTTCTTTTAAGTTATTTTTCTTTCAAAATGTCCCTACGCTGGATTATCGAATTATAGATTCTGTATCGATTGTAGGCTCTACAGTGAGGCCTAGTCCAAGAGAGCGATGTGAGAAAGAAGTGCTGAGCGCCAGCCACTGCAGAAAGGCAGATGTCCCTGTGGGGAAGAGCTGGCGCTCTGGGCAGCGCTGCCTCCCACCTGCCTGGAGAGTGATGGGGATCTGGGAACGAGGCAAGTTGCCCCAGGGGCTGCCATCCTGTTCTAGAGGGGTCACTCTGTGCTCACTGACCACCATACCTCTGTGGGAGCTTGTGTGATCATGTTCGTTCTTGTGACACGGAAAGCTGCTAACATTTATGGAGCGCTATGTGCGTGCCGAGCAATGGGCTGAAAATGAACTGAATTCTTTCTCATGATTATCTCATCCTTAGTTATAACCCTCACTTTTTAGGGGACATATAATGCTTTTTTTTGTCTTCCGTTAGTGGTTCTTTCTGATATTGTGGATCATATACAGATTGCCAGGCCCAATACTTAGATATTCTGAATCATTAGGTATAAGGTGGGGCTCATGAAATTAATATATGTATGAGTGTATTTTAAGGTGGCCCCTTGTGGTTCTGCCAACATCTGCTTAGTGTCTGACAGTAGACTGGGCCTCCTTCTGCTCAGGGACCCGCTGGCACATTAGAATCACCTGGAAAGCTTTAAAAACAGACCAATACCCAGACTCCACTTCTGATATCAATTATATCAGAATCTCTGAGAGTTGGGCCTGGGTATGGGGAGTTTTTAAACCTTCCTAGTTGAATCTGAAGTTCAGCCAGGATTGACAGCCATCACTTTAGCCAACAGAGAGACTGTAAACCATGAAACAACTGCTATGAAATAATAGGAAGAATATATATTGGTCCCTGTGCCTCCTTCCTGGCGCAGAGCTCCTAAAACCCTTTTAATTTTCCTAAGTGATAAAAGCACAGGGAACATCTTCTGTTCTACTATTTGGTGTTTGACCCTGGTTCCTGGAACAGAACTCCTAAATCCCTTGGAATTTCCTGGGTGGTAGCTGTGTTTTTTGTTCTAATGAGGCGACTCTGGCTGGGCTCCTGGATGGGGGCTGGGCACCAGAAAGCTATAATTAGAAGCTTGGAACTTTCAGCCCTACCCCTCCAACCTCCAGGAAGGGGAGAGGGAGTGTTAATAGAGTTAATGACTGATCATGTCTTCATGAAGAATCATCCCGAAAGTACTGGGTTCAGAGAGCTTCCAGTCTGGTGAACAAAGCTACCGGCCGGGAAGGTGGCACAACCCAAACTCCAAGGGGAACAGGAGCCCAGAATCCTCCCAGTCACCCCTGTGTATCTCTTCATCGGGCTCTTCATCCCAATCCTCTGTCATAGCCTTCATCACATAATACACTGGTAAACATAAGAAGCGTGTCCCTGAGTTCTGTGAGCTGTCCTAGCAATGACAGAACCCAAGAAGGGGGTCCGGGGACCATCTGATTTGTAGCCAAGTCAGACAGAAGTCAGGTGTAATCTGGGACTTACTACTTGTTACTGGCATCTCACGTGGGGGTGCAGCTCCTAACCTGGGGAGTCTGTGCTCTTGAGAGTCTGTGCCCTAATTGCTTGGTGTGGAAACCCCCCACACCTGGTGCCAGAAGTGTCATGAGTGTGGAAGCAGGGTGTGAATAAAGGAGAGCACCTAGACTTAACAAAATATATAGTAATGGCCATTAGTCACCTCATAAGGACACTCTCGATGAATTCTTCCCAAGATAAAAAAAAGTTAAGAGTATAGTATATATTTAAAAAAACCCAGCACGTCCCATTTGTACATGCTTTGGTATGCGTAGCACACTCACAAACGTGTCCTTCTTACTCAATCCGTGCACCACTTTGAACTATCACCCCTACTCTACAAGGGAGGAAGCAAAGGCTGTGAGAGAATACAAGATTTTCTGGTAAAGTCTTCCCCTAGCAACATTAGTTTCTCTCTGCTCTTACCTTGAGGATGTTATTAGTCAAAATGCAATTATTTGGTTTCTCGATTCTTCCCCAGGAGGCTGTGAGCTTTTGAGGATGAGCCAGTATTTTATTCTAAATGTCCCTTCAAATCAACTCTGCTTGCCAGCATGAGTGGGGGCTGGGAACAGGTAAAGCTGCCAACCTGGACCCCTGGGTCAGTGATTAGACTTGCCATCCTGGCTCCCTGCTCAGTGACTGCTTTCCCCTGGCACGTGTGGGCATTACCTGCTGGCTGTGGACAAGGCTGTGCAGGTCACAGGCATTGGCCCCGGGCTGACCAGCCTGGCTCAGCCACAGGCAGGCGGTGAATGAGCCCAATGTGCAATTAGCTTCTCACAGGGCTGGTGAATTGAGGTAAGGCTGAGCAGCAGCATTTTTTTTTTCCAGGCCTGGAGGCCAATAATTCAGTGTTCTCTTCAGGACACTCACAAAGTTAAGGGAAGTCCTGGAAAAAGCCCCCTGACTGGGGGCTAGCCCACCCTGCTTACTTGATGTAGAGCCTTGGTTTTTATATAACTTGATGAGACACAAGAGAAGACAAACAAGAGATAAAGTGGGAGATCCAGGTAGGGACCCGAGACCCCCAGACTCATGCACGATCACAGCAACAGCTAAGAAGAATTAGACCATTAGAATGGTCCTGATTATGGAATTATACCAAACGCCAACCAGAAGTACAGGAATAGCTTCCGATGGGCAGACCAACCACGTGACTACTTGACTCTCCCACCTGGGAGACTTTGTCCAGGATTCTTTCAGATTCACAACTCATCGTTTGGAAATACCGTATGCATTTTCCAGCCCACTGTCAAATCTGGGAAGACTGCTTTCAAGTTTCTTTTCTGATCTATTACAGACAGATTTGCTGTTTGTAGTAACACTCAAGGTATGTGCCCTTCAAACACAAGAGTTCTGGAAAAAGAGCTCTTTCCCAGAAACCACCTGAACCGTGTGCACCCCGTCTGCTGACGAGGTGATGAAGAAGCAGGAGTGGGAGCCCTGGCGGGCTGTGTCCCTCTGTGAAATCAACGCAGGGCTCTTGGGCACGTCTTCCAAGGAGATGTCCCTTCAGTGAGTCCAGACATTCCATGAGGAGAGGTCAGGGGAGGGGAGGCCACATGGCCCCGCACTGTTTAGCCATTACAGTTCATTAAGGGATTATATGCTGCCAAATTATGCCTAAAAGCACAAAGGCCAGCTGTATGTCCTTGGTTCCAAGCAGTGGGGTGAGCCAGCTAACCAAGACAGCAAAACCACTCAAGTTGACTTAATGAGGGAAACCATCAACGGAGGAAGAGCTAGTGACAGCCCCTTTGAGAGCAGTCCAGGGAAGAGCCCCCCCTTTAATGTTCTGCCTTCACACCCCTGGTCAGGTCTGGTCCTTTCTCTCAGTCTGAGCTGGGGCAGTCCCTGTGGCAAGTGGAGCCTGGGGGAATGCCACCAGTCTGGATGGATGGCTGGGGACAGCAGACCCTCTCATTTTCCCCTGCGAAGTGCCCTGCACCCCCAGCCAGTGGACTCAAAAGAAGGGCCAACCTCCTGCAGGCAATGTTCTCTCTTGAGAAGAAGAGGCCGTGTGTGGATGTCTGACTTCAGAGGCTGCCGGGGAAGCCACAAAGGGCAGCGAGGTGAGGACAGAGACTCAGCGCTGTTTCTCAGCATTCTTCCCTCCTTGTCTCCTGTGCATGGCCACGGCTCCTAACCAGCTGGCCACCGCCCCCCCCACCCCCCACCGACACGCGGACACACACATGCACATCTTTTGAGAAAACAGCATCTCTCATGTGAGAGGAACATGAGCTCACAGAAAAGGCATCCTTGTCTTTATAGCCAGAAACCTTTGCTTTAAATCACAGGGCTCTGTCCTTCACCAGCAGCGTGACTTTGAACGAATGATAGACTTCTCTGAGTTCCAATAACCTCATCTCAAAATAGTGACAAAAGCACCTACTTTATCTGGTTGCTCAAAGACTGAATTGCGTCCTGTGTACGAAGCACCTGTCGCGGTGCCTGGTACCTAGAAGATGATGTTTGATCACCATTAGCCGCTCCCCCATTATTACAACACTCATCAAAATACTAAACATGTGACAACAGCGTACACTGCTCCCCCATCATCCCGCACTGGTTTCTGATCTACAAAGAAACATAAGAAGAGCTTCAGTCCCACCTGGTAGACAGCCCTGGAGATGCACCATGGTTTCAGCATCAGCTGCAGGACCCGAAGGTGTCCCCCTCGGCACGTCCTCAGGACCCGGGAAGTCAGGCCCCACAGCAGACGGTCCCAGCTACATAGCAGGTCTTCCGAGCCAAGCAGCCCTGCAGCCATGCCAGCTCCAGGCCCCGCCTTTACCCCTCTGGTCCCAGGCCCCACATACAGGGCTGTGTTCTTTTAGTAACTCAAAGTTCAAATGTCACCAAGATTTAATCAGGCAAGAGAAAAATGCAGTCAAAATAACTCTGTTTCCTCTGTCCCACTCTCCTCTCCTACCTTCCCTCTACCCTCAACTAATCTGCAGGGACTGTTTTCCCTCAAGGATTAGCAAATAGCTCCTAAATCAAAATGCTTTCTCTCTGTCTCTGGGAACTAACCAGGGACAAGGTAAAAACAAGTCTCTCACCCTGCAGATAATTGCACAGCCCTCCCTGTCGGGGAACCGCTTTGGACACAGAACTGACTTTTGGGGCAGGTCAACCCCAAATTTAGGGAAGAGCATAAGCCCGGAGGTTATCACTGGGTTCTCGTGGTTTCAAGATTCCATCCAGGGTGAGAAGCAAAGGGGAAGGAGCTCTGGCTTCCCCTGCCAACATTCCCAAGGCATTCCATCTATCCTCTTAACTCTTTAAGACTTAGAGAAGCAAAGAGTTTCTGTGTGGTGAAGCAAAAATCTAACTTTATACCAACACTGGAGGGGTCGCTATTTCTGGGGGTGCTTTACCAAAGCTCAGGCATTTTCTTTGGAAATTTCCCAAGTTTACATTAGGATTAAAAGGGCTGTAAGAAAACTTATCTTTCAGATTTAATATCAACATCTGTGATTTTGGGGGAAAGCAGATAAAAGAGGTAAAGGCAACATATCTCATTTCTCCCCACTATGGGGCATTTTCTGCAAAAACTCTTGTGGCTCTATCACGTGTTAGATAAGCCCTATGAAGACCTCAACCCAAGGGAAGATATCCAGTTAAATGGGGTATAGCTATTTTCCATGTCTATTAAGTTTTTTGAGTTTTGATCATTTTTAAAGATTTATTTATTTATTTATTTGAGAGCGAGAGAGAGAGAGAGAGAGAGAGAGAGAGAGAGGGAGAATGAGCACTAGCAAGCATGGGGGAGGGGCAGAGGGCAAAGGAGAAAGAGAATCTCAATCAGACTCTGTGCTGAGCACAGAGCCCACTGCCCGGCTTGATCTCTCGACCCTGAGATCATGACCTGAGCTGAAACCAGGAGTTGGATGCTCAACCAATTGAGCCAGCCACCCAGGTGCCCCAGGTTTTGATCATTTTTAACCTTGTTTCAGAAGGGCATCTGCATCTGAATTCAATAGGTTGTTATATGCCAAAGAGGAAATAATGAGGTGCTATACTTAAAGTAGATAACACAGGGTGTGGCCGTAGCTGATTTTCGTTTTTTTGTGTGTGTGCACTTACCATGATCAGGCAAGTCAAGGACATGCCTACCCCTGATAATACAAAACTCTAGTGATGGTTTCCAATGTTGTGTTTCTCTAAACCATCTTCTCTTAATTCCTTTCCCTTTTTGCTATGGGTAAAGGCATTAATTAATTAATATGTGAAGATCATTTTCATTTAAACTCCTCTTTGATGAATTTTATCACCATGAGTAAGAGCTCTAGGGTAAAACATTATACATGATTTCATTCCTACATGTTATTCCTTTATTTCCACACACTCTGTCATACAAGGCGAGGGGATACTAAAGAATCTTGCTTTTCTACAAACACTCCATCACCAGAGGTTGTTTCATTAAGACAGAAGGAAGGAAGAAGGGAAGGAAGGAAGGAAGGAAGGAAGGAAGGAAGGAAGGAAGGAAGGAAGGAAGGAAGGAAGAATGAAAAGAAAACAAAAGAAAAATTTAAAACTAATAGTATGTGGAAAATGTTTGCTCCATTAACATTAGTTAACCACCTTGGAATTCTCAAGAAAAAACAAATGCAAGCTACATCATAGTCAGCTTTTGCCTGTGTCCCTGAGCTCATGTTCTCCATCCTCTGGGGATTTTGGCTGTGAACCAAGCTCTTATCCAAAGCGTGTAATTACGGAATAGATAGGGGCAGTTTTAAAGGCACTGTTTTACTCTATGATTCAACAATGTGACTTTAAAACAATTTTTAAAGTTAAATGTATATTTAGCTTATGGTCTGGGAATCTTTTAAGTATAAAGGTGCCATAATAAGCTTTTAACAACATTCCCGAATATAAACCTATTAGTTCCTGAGAACAGCAAGACTTACTCCAACTGACCTGAAATCTTTATCACTCATGGGGACAGAGACATCCTCTGTGGAGCTTGGTAGCTTCAGCAGATGTGCTGGTGGAGGACACTGCCCAGTGTCTTCAGCGTATCTGATTCTTTTTTTTTTTTTTTTTATGATAGTCACACAGTGAGAGAGAGAGAGGCAGAGACATAGGCAGAGGGAGAAGCAGGCTCCATGCACCGGGAGCCCGACGTGGGATTCGATCCCGGGTCTCCAGGATGGCGCCCTGGGCCAAAGGCAAGCGCCAAACCGCTGCGCCACCCAGGGATCCCCTGATTCTATTTTTTTTTAATTTTTTTTAATTTTTATTTATTTATGATAGTCACAGAGAGAGAGAGGCAGAGACACAGGCAGAGGGAGAAGCAGGCTCCATGCACCGGAAGCCCGATGTGGGATTCGATCCCGAGTCTCCAGGATCGCGCCCTGGGCCAAAGGCAGGCACCAAACCGCTGCGCCACCCAGGGATCCCCGCGTATCTGATTCTGCCCGAGATTTGAGGTCCATAACTCAGACTTTGATGGGGCAGCTTGCTCGACGGCATATGGGATGTTGTGCATGCAAACAGCACCACTGCCATCGACCATGAAGCCCGTGCTTTGAAAGGGGTTTAGAGTGCGCAGAGCAACGAGACACGGATGTGTGTGTGTATGTGTGTCCATACATGCGTGTCTGAGCACGTATGTCTATCTGCGGGTCTGAGTATGCGTGCCTTCGTGTGCATCTGGGGGATCACAGTGCAGAGGGTGGAGTGACCTGCTCAGACCACATGGACATTGTAATGGAACAGGGACATGATCTCAGGGCTCAGCAGGCAAAAGAAGGATCTACATTTGCCTTGCTGACTCCTCCCTCTCTAACCACGTTCTTTATTCTTTCTTTGAAAGTAATAGAAAATCAGGATTTTCTGGGCAGCTTACCACTTACACAATTGCTCACTAGACTTTAAAGAGTGATGAATCAGTGGCCCTGTGGGTGACTAAGTGGTGATGAACAGCATCTGAGATACCAGGAAGGCGCCCGTAAGAGCGATTACAGAGTCACCTCTCCTTTCAGGAGACTTATTGCTAACATTTGGGGTGAAAAGAGTCTGAGGATTGAGTCAGTTGGCAGGATTGGCCTTGTTGCTGAGTGTTGGCCCATTGTACCCCCTGGGGAACATCACAAGTGGGAACCGAAGTCTTGGTCCTGTGGTTCCATATTTGGGAAGGGACCGGGGCTGGAAACTCTAAGTCAGGGGCTGACCTGGGGAGATGGCAGGTGTGGCCAAGCCAGGAGCTCCCGCCCAGGGTGATGGCAGGAGAGGCAGTTGGGGTTTGCACGGCACACGGAGCCACCCCTCCCCTGCCAGCTGCTCCCCGCCTTGCACAGCTGTTCATCTTCCCTGTGTCTACCTCCGCCTCTGGGTTTTCTGTCCCTGCTCCCAGACTCTCGTTCACTGTATTTGTAAAGACAGAGGAATTCTTCTCAAAGCAATAAATGCCTTTGCCCGACTCTAGGGATGTTTTCAGACATAATTACCGCCTCGAGAAGGACTTGGAAAAGCTCTAAGTTGAAAGTAATATGCAGCGCAATTAGGAACGAAATTTGCAAACACATAAAGATACAGGAAATTGCGTGCACACGGAGAAGTATATTTATAGTAGCCCAAGAAATATATGCAGAAATGCATTCTAATGTAATCCATTTTAATTATTTAGTGATTAGTTACCCACCTATTTTAGAAAATGTCAGCCCTAAGACTGATGGAGAACTGTTATGGTCTCTGTCAGGTGAAAGTCAGCTGCTGAGAGGCACAAATACCATTTTAAAAAAAATTCTCTTGGATGCATTTTGTTATCTTTGACAGAATCTGAAGATAAAGGACAGTTGCTCCTATATCAAAGCTCTGTCCAGGGACCACGCCTGGGTGGCTCAGCTGGTTAAACATCTGTCTTCGGCTCAGGTCATGATCTCAGGGTCCCGGGATCGAGCCCAGCTTTGGGCTCCCTGCTCATCGGGGAGCCTGCCTCTCCCTCTCCCTCTAAACTCTCCCCTTCCCCCAAATAAATAAAATCTTAAAAGAAAAGAAAAGAAAAATAGAAAAGAAAAAGAAAAAGCCCAGTCCAGATATTTAAACCAGAATGAAGGCCTTGCTCCAACCAGATCTGTTCTCTTAGAAGGACAGGCATCGGGGGATCCCTGCGTGGCTCAGCGGTTCGGCGCCTGCCTTTGGCTCAGGGCACGATCCTGGGGTCCCGAGATCGAGTCCCGCTTCGGGCTCCCAGCATGGAGCCTGCTTCTCCCTCTACCTATGTCTCTGCCTCTCTCTCTCTCTCTGTGTCTATCATAAATAGATAAATCTTTTTTTAAAAAAAAAGAAGGACAGGCATCAATGGGTAACTCACTCCAAAGTGAACCTGAGAAGGTGCTGGAAAATAAATGAATCAACAACAGAGAGGGGAAGCAGGGGCTGTGTTCAGAAATACCCATCAACCCTATTTCCGGGTTTCATAGAAAGCAGATTCCTTTCGGTTTTTCTGTGCAGCAAACATTTCTGTGCCACATGTGGACCTTTTCAGTTCTCAGCTACTAACTCGCTTTTTAATTCTACATTCGCCTCCTGACTTCCAACAGAGGACTCAAACTTAGGCTTAAATTTATTGCACATTTTGTTCTTTCCTTGCATTGAATGCTCTTATGATTAAATCTCTATGTGTAACCAAAATGCTGGTCTGGGGTGGAGCTGGAAGCTTTATTCTTTAAGTGAAGGAGGCCCATACTTCTTTGTTAGTAATTCTTAAAAACAAAACAAAACGAAACAAAACCCAACACTTTATTGAGGTATAATTTATGG